CCGTAAATTGCGTGGTAACAAAGCCTATGTTTTTCTGCTTATGTTGTTGGTCGTGCGCCTTGGTCTGGACTTGCATTAGTAGCTTAGCAATGCCATGCCGCTTCTCTGCCAAGCTTCGTTTTACGGAAGCTTTTGAAAATCATCGAGCTGAAAGATCTCAATCGTATCTACAATAAAACAATTTGTTATATGAGAAAAACATTCACCGTTATCAGGCTGTGCAGAAATATATGCAAAACAGATCTTATACTTTTTGTTAATCTGTTTATGAAAAGGACAACTGGCTTCACGACAGCAATTTATGGACATATTATCATGTCAAATAAATGAATTTACGAATAAGGCATTTTTCAGCACGTACGTGATGCCTGGATGCATTGCTAGTATGAAATATGATTGCCGCACGCGCAACAAGTTTTAGTTTTGGACAACACGAGTCTAATAAGTTGCAGAGGAACTCGGTCCTACCAAACCGGAAACGTTAAGAATGTCTGATAAATATAGATTTCGCGATCAGATTGAGTTTCAATATTCTCGTGGTTTTCATTTGATGAAGCCAGCGCATTAAAAATAATAACTATTTGTAAAGAAAAACAAGATGTTACTAACTTTTTTTGCTTCTATAAATTTCCAGGGTTAAATAGTCCGAAATATATCAGAATGATTTGAAATTAAAGAAAATCAATACGCATCCATATATGAAAAGGTTTCTGGAGGATACTTCTTGTCAAATACTAAAACCGAAATTTTATAAACCGCCTTTGATTTTCCACAGGAAATGCTGAAGAGCCATGCACGGAAGTGGGTCATGATTAGCACTTTATTCCAGACTTAACACTGAAGTATGGGGATAATAAAGCAGGCGTGTAGAGCCCCTTGGTAGCTTTATTGTCGGCAGTGTCGAGGGCTTCTATCGCACCGCCGTATCGGTTCTCAGCGACCTCTTGTGGGCCCTTGTCGCCCACGCAGGCGGGCGGCCGGGGCAGCGCCGCGATGTCTGCGCTGTCTTTTATATCATGTATGAAGTGATCACTGCTGATAATGATGGCTTGAATATCATGTATGAAGTGATCACCGCTGATAATGATGGCTTGAATATCATGTATGAAGTGATCACCGCTGGAAAATGATGGCTTGAATATCATGTATGAAGTGATCACTGCTGATAATGTTGTCTTGAATATCATGTATGAAGTGATCACTGCTGATAATGTTGTCTTGAATATTGTGTATGCGGTGATCATGATCATCCATGATACGTTCATTATCATTCACGGGAAGAACAAGTTGGTAAGCTGGGAAGAAAAGGGGGGTACGCTGGTAAGAACAAGTGGGTAAGCTGGGAAAAACAATTGGGTAAGCTGTAAGAACAAGTGGGTAAGCTGGATGGTCGCATATCGAGGCTGCCGACCGGAAATACTACATGATTGAATACAATTACTTTAGAAAGATTAAATTAGGAAGGATCCTATAAATACGACATATACAAGTCAACAGCCGGCTGATTATATGCTCATCAATAATTTTGTAGTTCACGGAGGTGAGAGAACACGACAAGGAAGTATTGAGTTCAGCGCAGCTTGCCGTCGTATAAGAGGCTATACAGCAATGCAATGCACTGACCTGTGTAGCAGCAGACGACGCTAGCCTACGGAATTCAGTCTTCGTGTTTACTTTATGGATTACCATCCTTATTATTCTTAATGATTATGCAAAAATACAATAATTAAAGTAACTAGATTCTAATAATCGTTATTATAGTATCATTCAAGCGTTGGTATGGCGATTGACCAATGCCTGGATGGTTTCTCCTTTCGCAATTATTTCTTGTGTCTGACAAAAACAAAGGGATCTGGAATATCGAGGATTTTAATTTGAGAACAATTATAAACTAGTGAATAACCAGGAGCCCGAACACAATTGTCTAGCCACTGTCATAAGGGATACCTGCTCTACTGGAAGTACCCACGACATCTGTTCAGCTACTCTCAAATTATGTACATTTATAACGTAATTCACTATGTAGTCATTCTGACGTACACTGGATCTATATTCACTGAATTCATGGATGCGTTCGATGACCCCACCCACGGTAGGTGCATGAATGGCCAGGTAAAGAGTGCTTCACATTTCGTTGTACCACCATCAGGGCTATAGATACATATGTTTCATCCGTGTACACATGTTTCCCGGGACTGAATATGTTTGTTACGTGTACATGTTTCCTGGGACCGGTATATGTTCCTCGTACACATGTCCGGTACAGATTCATGTTTCGCACATGTGTCTGTTGGTCTGAGTTCTCTTTTTCGTGCCGAATTCTGCTCTCTCCGCTCGGCCAGCCAGTCCCTCTAGCTCTCTCATCACTGAAGTCGCTCGTCTGAAGAGAGTTCCGCATAAAGTTTCATGAATGAAGAGCTCTTTTCAGCCTTCCTCGCATCAATGGGCCTTCATTTTTGCTCTCTTTCTTCCTCAACTCATTCATCTTCCTCCTCCAGCTCTTATAAGTAGCACGTGATGCCATCAATGGACAAGCGCCTGTCACTATCAGTGCGTTTCTTCCACAGAAATCTTTATGGCTTCTGAACAACGTCAGTTGCCTGTGAAAAAGTAGCGAGCAATAATAATTGTGCCGTGTGTGAAGACCTGCTGGCCGTATGTGCAGATCTATTCTCCGTGTGCAGATCTACTGGCCGTGTGTGCTTATCTACTCTACATTCAGCACCACACCGCCTATAGACAGTTGCCGCCCTCCGTTCACATCATCACAAGTCCAATTAATGAGGTCCTGATATATCAGCGTACCGTGCTGTATATCACATCAGCGTACCTTGCTGTATATCACATCAGCGTACCTTGCTGTATATCACATCAGCGTGCCGTGCTGTATATCACATCATCAACGGGATGTGGCATCATGCAGGGTTATATTCCTTATGGATAAAAGTCTTGTAGTGCCACTTACAGTACCACCTACTGTTGTGCTATCACCAGTTCCTGAGTACTGTCGTATTACCAGAAGTACATTATTCATAATATTGATCACGGTACTGCTGATTAAGTACTTCATCCCTCAATGGTGAAGATCTACGTTGCAGTCGAACCAGTTCTTCGTCCAGAGTTAACCACGGTCCTGCCAGTCCAGATGATCACCAGCCTCCGACCACAGCTGCTTATCCCTTAACTTTTATAGGTTTGCATCAGGGATCAGTTTAATTAATTCACGTAAAATGCGTACTGCTACGACTACTCGTAAGTATTACGATGTGTAAATTACGATAAATTTACGATATAAAATTACGATAAAGTTACGATGCGTAAATTACGATAAAGTTACGATGAGTAAATTACGATGCGTAAATTGCGACAAAGTTACGATGCGAAAATTACGATAAAATTACGATGCGTAAATTAAGCATTGTAACTCCATTATTTCCCTTTTTTTGTGTTCAAATAAATTCTGCACTCAGAACCATGAAAAAGTCATATTATGCATGCACTCCTATAACTACTCGCAACAAAGAGCACTAGGATAAACCTGATCCAAACCGGATCAGGATACTTTATAGCCATTTGGACAAAGTTTCACTCATTTCGCTGAGTGTGTGTAGACAAGATTGAGACGTAAATATGAGTTATTAAATTTGAGATTCTGACAACAGAGACCGCGTTATTGAAAAATCTGTTTGCGACCGCAAGCTCAACCATCTTCGTGAATTCTGCTATCACGTTTACCTATCATTAGTAAATTATAAGTAAATTTTTACCTATTATTTCCTGAAGGCGGAAAAATATCCAAAATGCAGATTATCCACGGCGCTCCCGAGGCTAGATAATCCCGTAGATTTATTTATAATTTTATTTAATTTTGGTTGATTAGATATAATCGGCCAAAATAATTGAGTAATAAATGATTCAAAATAATTGAGTGTCTCTTTATCAGGATTTTTATCAAATATGGGAAAAAAAGAACCATGCTATTTCATAATTTTACGCATGACCCAAGTTAATATCAGTTATCAAATTTAGGAATTTATAATCAGGAATTACACATGAAAAGGATTAAATTCAAAACAGAATTTAATTTTCATAATTTATTTTTATTCGAGCAACCGTTCTGCGATGCCTCCTGATTCCAGAACCAATATTATATTATAATTATATCTGACTCGATGGTTATTTAATGTGAATACGTACTCAATGACCCCTACATATATTTACAGTGCAGGGTTTCAAGTATACAAACAGAAATCCTGCAATATAATATTGACTGAGGCTTTAGTTTTCATTTCTAAACTAAAACATGGCCCGGCCCCTCTTACCTAATAGACTGGCACGTTAGCTACATGTCCGTCAATATAGGTCACGCACCAGCTATAATAATTCGAGGTCCAGACAGTGAAGTCTTCGAAAATTTCGGTCCCGTGGCCTGAAAATTTATTGAAAGCCTGCAACAAAATCCGGGGTTGAAAATTGTCTAAAGAAAATTCCAGAAATAGAGACTGTGACGTCACACCATTCCAGCCTGACGCCCCATTATCCCATTCCAGTCTGCTGTGGACGAATTATTCCTATTCCAGTCCGTTATTATGGTCACACGAAATGTACGCAGATAGTACGATATACACACAGATTTTTATTCCCATTTGTCATAAATAAAAGTCACTTGCATTGAAAATTGCAATGAATTGGCATTACCGAGATTGGACAACAAGATTCCTGCTAAGCGCTCAATGCAGGAACGATGAGATTATTGCTTGTAGCTCCCACTGTTGGTTTACTCACGGTCTACTACACAGGAATGTTATGGTCTGATAGGAACAATACTTCACTGCAAGTACTAAGAGCAACTTCAATTCATGCACAGGCTTCAGAAGAGAGCCGTGACGTCACTGTATTGCAGAGCTGCCATTGGTCGAGGTCGCTACGCTGAGGTCCATTCATAAATGTGAGCCTCGTGGCACGAGTGTCTGAGTCCGTCAGTTGGCGACTGAGCGCTGTGCTGTGTGCATGTCCCAGCAAGTGCTCCTGCTCACACTGTGTTGTCACACCTGCAATTCTTACTGAGTCAATTGCTTGCGCCTTGGAGGACTTGCCTCAAACGTCCACAGCCGTCAAGGGTGAACTGCAGCCCTCCATCATGATAATGGACGGACTAGACTCCCTCGCGGCAGCGACTATTGCCGAAAATTCACTTACTTTTAATATTGTTAGTTTTGAGACGTTAAAAGGTGGGGACTTTCAGTTACCGTCCCCCCTTGCGGTGTCCATCGATGGTCCAAACCCCAGCGAGGACTGCCTCAACACGCCCGTGTCCACGGCCATGCCGGCCTTCTTTGGCACCCTGCACGACTCCTTCCTTCCTCTCACAGGTACGGTTAATTTCCAGTGGCATTCTTCCAGTGGTAAGAAGTGGCAAATGCTATAAATATAAAATTAATTTTCAGTGGCGAGTTGCGGCAAATGCTGGCAATAGAAATTAATTTTCAGTGGCGAGTAGCGGCAAATGCTAGAAATAGAAATTAATTTCCAGTGGCGAGTAGCGGCAAATGATAGCAATAGAAATTAATTAAAGTTTAGTCGCAATCGCCAGGAAGAAGTTCAAAATTTATTGAAAATATATTAATCTTATTAAGAAGATCATATGTAAGTCTGAGGTGATTTCGCGCCATTTGTTGGCAGATATTCCTGCTTGGTTTTGGGCGCTCTGAATTGATGAAGGACCGGCAAAATTATTCATATTCATTTATCATAGCAGAGCTACTTATGAAGCAAATTTTAAGGACCTCAGATTAAATTTGAGCTTAAATTTCATTCCATCATATCATTAGTTCTACTTTGAAATTTGAAGTTACTCGAAGCAGATCAGGAATAAATGTAAATTACCGATTTTGAATTCAATAGCCACCAGGCTCTTGGTGCAATTGTTTACATTGAATTTTTAATGTCAACTGAACTGATCTGCATGCAAAGTTCGCTTTGCTCCTCCTTTGACTTCAGCGAATCAAGGTTGTTTTGCCGCAACCCGCAATGAAACGTTTTCATTTTAATATTAAAAATGTCGACGTAGTTTTTTGCATTTTAAGTCAGATTACAACGTGACGTGAGCACAGACGTTGTTTGTGCTGCCGCTTAGGCGCTCACATTTGAACGACGCTCAAATTCACGATCCGGGATGAGTTGCACCGCGGAGTTTATTGGGTTTAGTAAGCAAGGAAATTCTCGATTATGCCCATGAGATGTTAAAGAGTTAATGCGAATTTTCGTTTACTATCATGCAGCCGACATTTAAACTGGAACCACAGTGCCTTCTCTTTAACTTCGCTGACGTCCACCAAAATTGGTGGGCCTACTGAAAGAGAGGGAGAGAGTCAGAGAGAGGGGAAAGGGAGAGAGCAGCTGTGGCAGACGCACGTACATGTATAGACGCACACACACGCTCACAGCTTTAGCAATCGATGACACACACGTCATCAAACGTCGCGGTCTCTGTGTCTTATTGTGGTTTTCTCGGTGATGATTTTCAGCTGCGTTGGAAGCAAATCAAATTATTTGTTTTTGTGAAGAAGTATCTATATTTTACGATGGCCAAAACTCAAGTTGAAAATTTAGTGAAAATAGTTTCAGGTCTTATTCCACGGAATTTCGCAAATTTGCGATGAACTCCTTCAATCCTAAACGAACTCATGGAACTCGAACCCAATGTTGGACTCCAGGCGTCCTATTGGCGCAGGACTTACGACTGGCGTTGCGATGGTCAGACCTCGACAAGACGTCTGACGGACATAAACCAGCAACGTCCAAGCGTGCCTGCAATCAACATCTTGTAATCCTGATAATCCTGAGACGTTCAAGCGAATTTTATAACATCCATAGCATATAATATCCAAGCGCTCTCAGGAAATGTGCATAAATTCTACGTAAAATAGACCGCGCGCACAACTGGCAAGGACACGCGCTCTGTTGTGCCGCTGAACGGACAACATGCCTGACGAAACTTTTTTAGTCCTTGTCCACGTGGATTTGAAATCTTCATTGATATAAAAAGCTGTTATTTTATAAGAAGGAATAGTTGTTTTGGTCTATTATTTTTATTTTTGTCGGAAAATGGTTTTATTATTCGTAATTAAGACTTGGTGCAAGAGATAACGAGCCAGTAAATCGAAATTTTACCCAGGATATGCATGGGAATGGTTTCATTGTTTTTCTATTACCAGGAATGATGTATTCACTATTTTCGACATTTATCATTGAAGACTCTATAAGTTTTCATATTATACTTGCCTGAAATTTATTATTTTGCTATTAGAATAATCAGATAATTATTTTTCTGAATTAATAAGAGAAAATATCGAGCACCGTGACGCCCTGCGACTAGCGTCATAATCTTCTGGCCTCACGGGCCTCGCTGCCTAGGACACAAATGCAGGTCTGGCCTCACGGGCCTCCCTGCCAGGACACAAATGCAGGTCTGGCCTCACGGGCTTCGCTACTCAGGACACAAATGCAGGTCTGGCCTCACGGGCCTCCCTGCCCAGGACGCAAATGCAGGTCTGGCCTCACGGGCCTCCCTGCCCAGGACACAAATGCAGGTCTGGCCTCACGGGCCTCGCTACTCAGGACACAAATGCAGGTCTGGCCTCACGGGCCTCGTTGCTCAGGACACAAATGCAGGTCTGGCCTCACGGGCCTCCCTGCCCAGGACACAAATGCAGGTCTGGCCTCACGGGCCTCGTTGCTCAGGACACAAATGCAGGTCTGGCTTCACGGGCCTCCCTGCTCAGGACACAAATGCAGGTCTGGCCTCACGGGCCTCCCTGCTCAGGACACAATCCTAGGCTGCGATGGGAGGCCAGCTGAGCCTCTCTTGTTTTAATTGCTCCGTGTGTGTGTCACGACAGAAGTGTGCGCTACAAGTTATGTGTTTACTTGTATCTAAGTGAACAAGTGTTCGTCTCGTGAACAAGTGGACATGCGTACGGGTATCTATGCTCATAGATAAACAAGCTTCTGACAAGCTGGATGAGTTTAATGAAATGCCAGTGTATAGGAATATGCAGGAGCAAATAGGCACACGTGAGTTTTTCCATAAAGTGATACTATTTAATAGTTACAGTTGAGTTGTGTAAATATTTGATGTTTTGCATGAATATTATTTGCACACATTTGCATTATGAATTCATGTTTCCGAAAGACTTTTTCAATGAACTTTTTCATAAGCGACAAGTTTCTAGAAACTACTCATAAACATAAATGTTTCTATCATAACAGACGAAGAATCTTAATAGATGCTCTTCTTCTAAGAAAAGCGTGTTTGAACTTTCAAAAAAGTTCCCTTGCTCCTAGAATTCACTAATTGCTATATTTTTGTGCACGTCAGGTAAACGACGTGCAGAGATTTTTTCAATTGTGTCACGTCTGGTTTAAGTGGAGCAACACTCGCGTCGGTATCACCGCACTGATACTAATTTAAGGGCTTGGCTCGATGCTCTAAACCCGGAAATCTTCGCACTTTTGATACCTTGCCAGATGTTGGAGTCTGCCAGACGACCTGCCATACCGACAATGCATGTTCGACAACCTCGGCAATCGCACATTTCTTATTAGCGTCTTACTTACTTAATGGTAATTAGTTTTCTCCCAAACCTCATCCTCTTCATATGTCCATATTATCATGGTTTCGTTTTACTCTTGTTTAGAAATCATTACTTTTCTCTCAAGCCTCATGCTCTTCACGTTAATATTACCATGGTTTTGTCGTACTCTTTTGCAACCTCTCACCTAACTTTGTTGGTAATAGCATTGCCAGCGTCTTGCTTCTGTGCATTATTGTCTTTAGGAATGTTACGGAAACTCCCTCACATGTTTGCAGTATTTTAGTTTCACCTCCTATATGCGTCGATATAATTCAATTTTGAGATGTGTAAGCTGTCATGTAATTCATTGATGACCGATTATATATATATACTGGATGTGAAATTCATTTCTCTAAGCAATTGCAAAACTTTTAATTCGATTTTGGCTTCGAGTTTCGTGTTTTGCATATGAACTTGGAACAAAATTATCATTTTTATACGAAGCAACATGAATGTGTATAACGCACGAACAACGCGATGATTAGTACAACGTATTTATAATCGATTATTTTTTCAGCCATATTGTTTGATGTCACAAATTCATACTTTGGACTGGCCCAGCTCAATACTTCAGTCAATTAATCCATAACAAAATGAGGTTGCAATGAAGTAAACTTGAACCTGCATCTGATTTCGGTTAGTGAGCTTCAAAGCAAGCACGTAAAAAACCAACAGCACGCAGTTACAATAAACAATCCTATAGCCATGCACGAGCATTTGGGCCGCAGAACGCGACCACGTAACATAATTGCTCCTACAATATAGAACGCGAAATAATAATTCATCTCAGTAACAACAACTTCTTTAAAGTTATTAACTTTGAAGCTTCTTCGTTGTTTACGACGTCACGAAGCAGCACTGCATGCCCGTATCACGGATACCCTGTGCATGCGGAGACAGCAAATGTTCGCGCGGTGTCGGGCGCTCTACCGTCGTCCGAGGTCCCGGGCTCGGTGCCAGCGACGGTGCGACCGTTGCTTAATTATTGTTCAACTCGCGTCATACTTACTTTTTCTTTTAGCTGTCTAAGTCGAAATATTTGTATACTTCTGTGCAATTATTGTGCTATTGTTTCTCCTGTGCACTGTCGCGAGGGCTGTTGTCGTGTAAACGCTCCAAACGCATCCTCTCCATCAACTCCATGGTGGTTTTACTTAATTTATTCGTGCGACTGATTTACTGCACATCTACTGTCGATATTTTCAATTAATTTTTTTGCTAATGGCTTGCACAGTGCCATTAAATTTTTTGTTAACGACTTTCACAGCGCCATCAAATTTTTTGTAACGACTTGCACAGTGCCATCAACTTGCACAGTGCCATCAATCAATTACATTGAGCGTAAATCATTAGAAAATGATGGGAACATCGACACAACATAAGAATGATGCTTTAAATTAATACTTAGTGAATGTTGACGAACATATTGATAGATTTTTTGCGAATATCGCAATGGAAGCGAACGAATTTCCTTGCGAAAAATAACGAATGTCATGATAGAAGTGAGCAGAAAATAATTGAAATGCACGAGGAACGCGCCAGTTGTGCGCATGGTTGAGGGAAAGAAAAGATTGAGCGCGCGTCGCTCAATCAGCGGCTGTTCGATCACATCTGTTCGTTGAAGGGATAATTGCTCAGCAAACTCTAGAGCTCAGCGCATCTGCATGAATAAAAATATATGAGGTCAAGTCAGCCTATCAGGCCATAAAGCTGTCATGTCATGAATGATTATTGCA